CCTGCAAGGAGATCCAACCAGTCCATTCTAAAGGAAATCAGTACTGAATATTCATTGGAAGGACTGATGCTGAAGCTGAAACTCCACTACTTTGGCCAGCTGATTTGAAATGATTCATTTGAAAAGACCCTGATTCTAGGAAAGACTGAAGGCTGGGAAAGGGAGAAGGGGACGACAGAAGATGAGATGGTTGGATGGCATCACTGACTCAATGGACATGAGTTTGAGTAAACTAGGGGAGTTGGTGATGGACTGGGAGGCCTGGCGTGCTGCAGTCCATGGGGTTGCAAAGAGTTGGACGCAACTGAACTGAGGATGTTAGCTGTAGCTTTACCATGTATAGCCTTTGTTATATTGATGGTGTGTTTCTTCTGAAGCAACTTTCTGGAGCCTTTTCGTCATAAATGGATGCTGAATTTTGTCAACAGCTTTTTCTGCATCTGTTAAATATATCATGCCACTCCCTTCTGGCTTGCAGAGTTTCTGCTGAAAGATCAGCTGATAACACTTATGGGAGTTCCCTTGGATGGCATTTGTTGCTTTTAATCTTTGTAATTTTTCTTGTTGTATTCAATCTTTGACTAATAGGTGTTTCAACATGTTTCTTACACATGTTCCTACTTGGGTTTATCCTATCTGGACTCTTTATTCTTCCTAGATGTTGGTGACTGTTTCTCTTCCCATGTTAGGGAATTTTTCAGCTATTATCTCTTCAAATATTTTCTCAGATCCTTTCTCTCTTCTTCTTCTGGGAACTCTGTAAAGCAAATGTTGGTGCCTTTAATATTGTCCTGGGCATCTCTTAGACTGTCTTTGTCTTTTGTTATGTTCCATGGCAGTGATTTTCACTATTATCTTTTGGGTCACTTATCTGTTCTTCTGCCTCACGTATTCTATTGATTCCTTCTGGTGTATTTTTTCATTTCATATTGTTCATCTGTTTGTTCCTTAGTTCTTCTCAGTCTTCAGCAAACATTTATTGTTATCTTTCTCAATCCTTGCCTCCATTCTTTTTCTGAGATCTCTGATCATCTTCACTATTATTCTGAATTCTTCTTCCGGTAGGTTGGCTATCTTTATTTCACTTAGTTGTTCTGGGTTTCATCTTGTTCCTTTATCTGGGGCATATTCCTTTTCAATCTCATTCTGACTAACTTTCTGTGATTGCAGTTTCTGTTCC